GAAACTTCAGTCCAGCTCCTTGAAATGACAAGCAAGCATTGTCACAATCTTTTCAACAAAGAGAAATCAGTCTTCGTTTTAACTCATTCAATTGAAATATTGACATGGCCGAGTTCAACGTTCGCTTTCTTATATCTCCAATGCAGAAACAAATCTCAACTTTCAATCAGACTTAGAACAAACTTACAAGCTTATCTAAACTGTGTGAAAAAGGTGTTGTTCTCTTTAAAGGAGTGTTCGTAAAGATTTGTGAAAACTGAAGTGGAATACATTATTATTATGGTCTGGCTCACGGACACAGCATGCAGATATAAAATCTACAACGTTAGATACATCACAACAACAGCTAAAGAAATGGGAAATGATGACATTCGTTTTCCAGATTGACCGTAACTGGCGTTTTTTAGCTCAGTTGGTAATAGTGATTAGGGAAAGATTCTTGTGAACCTTGAACTAGTAGGAATCTCGAATTTACTGATCTCGTTGATTGTTAACCTTTGAAGGAAATCAAAGTTGCTGAAGTACTTCTTTATCCATGTTATGTAACCGGTTGACTTAAGACTTGTTTTAAAACACACATTCTTGCTTGGGTTGACTGAAACTATTATAAGTTTGATTACGGTTGACTACTTTCAACACTTATATTCAGCAGCATCATTCCAAATGTTCATATGGTGGAGATCACAAAAGGATTAATGTCGGGCATGCGCCATGAGGTAGCGACTAAAAGAGGAATATCAATTGGTTGTGCCAGATGAAAACAACCGATTCTAGCCTGGTCATTGTTATTGATTCGAGGACTTTGGCCGACATTGCCTCTGCTAAATCTAGCAAAGTCATGCTTAACATCCGGTCATTATTACCATATAATTGAGCAATTATGAACTCACTAATAGAAATCACATGAAACCTCTTAACCTTTCTATGTTCTATTTGCAGGATAAGTGAGATGTGCACGACAATTTCAAATTCAAATGCCAAACCTTTTAAAAGAAGAAAGATCATCTTCAGTTATTTACGATCGTTGGTAGGGCTGAAGCTGTATTCACGCTCTCCTTACCTAAGCCTAAGAAATCAGATGTGGTCCAAGTATGCAAAGGTAGACGCAGTCCGGTCTTGCATATTCAAGACCATAAAACCTGAACATAGAGAGTGCAATTCAAAATCCCAGGCTTCTCTTGCGATGAACAATATCGGAGTCTATAATGCATAAGAAAGCGTCAAGTGTTGTTTACTTCAAAAGAAAGAAAGAAAAAATACCCTCTGGATTAAAGTGTATGTTTGAAGTGCACGAAATATTGATCACTTGCAAACTTGGCACGTTACCCAACTCAACGGTTGGAATAATTGAAGAACGAACGAGAGTCACCGTATAAGTATGACATTAACCTCGGCGGAAGTAGTGAACCTGAACTACAGCTATTCAAAATAACAAAACTAACCGCTAGCAAGTTTGCTGGGTAAAGAAAATAATTACCTGGTACGATGTGAATGCTTCAATGTTCTGTCTACGGAGGTAAATACTGAAATCCCTACCGATCTGATCTGGATGGGCAGTGCCCATCCAGATTCTTTGGTATTCTTTGGTTGGGCAGTGCCCATCGGCGGTATCTTGGCTACAAAGAAAATATTCACCGCGCAGCACAATGTGTGGGAAGCTAAAGTTTTTGAATCTTGAGGGCGGTGACATGGTTGGGCACCGTCATTTCCCGCCCAAGGAGTGCAGCCATGACTAAAATTGGAGCTGAACTAGTCCTGTAACATGTTTCCCAATTCTGCTCCGCAAAGCATGGTGATCATCTATCACAGTTTCCATCCCAACTTCAGTTCCGCAAAGCAAATGACCGCCTACCCACAGTTTCCAGGATTTTTTAGAACCATTCGGAGTGCTTTCGTGTGCTACAACGTTGGACAAGTAATCTGCCCATTTGCTGCCAAATTTACATCTAAAACAGGGAGCAATATTATCTACACCTGGAGTGCTAAGCAGCGAACGCTACGGAACACCATCTGTTCAAATCATGACCCCTCCATAACTACCAAAGCCTCTGCTTCAACCGCATCAATAATAGTCATGGCTATGTGGGCTGTGGGTACCTGGTACGATACGGTAAGGTGCAAAATCCTGGGTGGATGATATTTGGATCATAGGTTACAGGAATCTAGGGAAAATCGCACAAATGCTTCTTGTGTTATTTATCACCTGCGTTCTTAAGGACTTGCAAACTGTCCAAGAGCAAAAACCAAAGTACTGGAAAAGGCGCTAGGTTTTAAGGGGTTCTTTCTCCCAAACATCCCTAGCATCACTAGTCTCAAGAAGAAGGGAGGTGGAATATGATAGTGACAGATCTTTTCAAATGGCCTATATATAAATATGGTTTAACGTAGTGCCTAGCCCCATCTTACTAGGTTAATTTCATCCATGTAGAGGTTGATGAGGTTTTCTTTTAAAAAAAATATTTCTTTAGTATGGGGTAAAACTATACCACTGCTTTAGGGCCAAGTTGATAGGAAAAGTGAACGGGAATACCTGATCGAACTGTATAAAAAGAAACCAAACCGATAAAATAAAATGCTGTGGACTAGATGTAGGAGTGAGTTAAATAGAAGTGTGCTGTTCTGCACACTCGCCTTCAAATCACTCTTCACAATATTTTTCAAATTATCCTCAGATTCATGTTCTTGAATGCGGGAGAGCTACGGCTAGGGTGACCGCGATTCCCACTCTTATGATTCCCACTCAACTTTCGCTTATGATGCCTATGAGTGTTTGATCATACAGGAGTAAGAAGGTTCGTCAACTCAGTGGCAATGATGACCTGAAGGAAACCCATCATCTGAGATCCATTTTCCTCTCCTACGGTAGGGTGAAGGTCCTAGTATCTTCTTTTCTTCGGAAATAGCCCGTATCCCCGTTTACTGTTGATGTAACACGAGATATTCATTCGAAGATGATGATATTCTAGATAAAATATGGATTTTCCTCCTTTTCGTACTTACAGTTACGCGTATTGGGTACGTTCTGTCCATCATCAGGAACTCTCTTTTCGATGTTTCCATCATTGGCATATTCCCATGCAATTTCTGTTGTTGATCCTGCTTGTAAATTTCTCAGTGAGAGCACATGAGTTTTATATTGTCCCAGTGTATATCGATAAGATGTGATGCTTATCTTCTGGTTTTAATGACAATGTTTTGTCATTGGCAGAAGTTGGTATGTCTGCTTCCGGCAAAGTTCGGAAGTGGTCGTTGTGAAGTTAGACCTAAACATCTCTAATTCCAGCAGACTGAGTGGCGTAAATGCTGCAGCATGGGGCAAGTACACCTTTTGTGAATATGATTTGTCAATCAGTAAAACGACAACGAGTGAACATGCAGGTCAATAAACGGTGTATGCTATGAAGGTCATATCTCAGCAAAATTACTTGGTCTTTGGGCTTCAAATCATTGTGAAGTACCAATAATGCTTTGATGAAGTGTAAGAGAACAACTTGAGTTCACCGGGAGAGCTGTAAAGGAAGGCTTTCGAAGGGAGCAATTTATGAGCTATAGAACATGGACTTTTGCTGCTTCTGTATCTGTGATGAGTGCTTACATCAGGCTTCATGGATCCAAGTTCATGAATCATGAGTAGCATTTAACACTTCAGGAGCAAAAAAAAACATCATATACTGTGAAGCCTAGAGGAAGTCTGAGCTTTTCAGCCTGTTTAACCTAGCACCAACTTAAGGTTTAGACATATTGCAAGAGTCCAACTACTTTATTCGACACGGCTTTAGAAACATATGTTTCATTCTATAAACTTCATGTAACATCAGCAATGTTGACTTGATCGGAAAAGGAGATTGGTTTTGAGGTTGTTGCATTTCAGACTCTAGGCTGTTGGATACAGAAAAGTGCTAGATTCGGGGCTCAGATGAGACTTCTGTTCTGAACTCAGTGAGTCCTCTCACTAGACTTAAAACACGGTTGTAACTAGATTAGTGAGGCAGTGACTACCGATGTCAACCAGTTATGGCTATACAAGCTCCTATACATGGTCAGATGTTCAACTTTGGTGTCCTGCACATGACACTGGTTTCTAGATCCCCTTATTGGGAGTCCCAAGAGGGGACAGGCTCCTTAGGTGGAGTGGGATCACCAACCAATGTACTTGTGACCAGCTGCAGCAGCTTTAGACTCTGAAAGCAGAGTGAGGTCTTGGACTTTATCCGCTATAGTCGTTCCTAGAGAGTACAGCTGGATGTGACCTGAGTATGTCTTAGGAAGCTTTCCGTCCCCAATCTCACAAGTTGCTGGAAAGCGAAGGAAGGGCACGTGGACGATCTTTTCTCCCTGCCCTCATAAGGCATACCTTCATCACAAACTCAGATCACACTCTCGCTCTCCTCGACCCGCAGCTGAGAACCTATGGCACTGGCTAGGAGCTGTCAGCGAGTACTTTGACTAGCCCGGTGTCAGTTTCAGACATGTGGAATACATGAACCCTTGACCCACAGCGTTTTATTGCATATCTTGCCCATTTGGTCAGAGCATCCTTCATCTACATCTTTACCGATATTCCAGATCAAACTCCTCTTCCGGGGAGCTTCAGGCAAATTCTTAGGGCAAACCCGAATTAACATGCAGGACACCGTTGAAAAGGTGTAGAGTCACGAAACATGTCTCGCGCACACCCTGTGACGAATCTAGAACACATCCATTAAAAAAACAACAGCGGACTGTATGACAGGTCCACGAAACTTACGACGCACGGGGCTGTCGCTTTGCGCTCAGATGGGCGGGAGTTCAGGAGGAACTATTTTACTCGTCTCGGGCGAACGTACTCGCTTTCTCGCTTTGTCCCACGTTTGTTGAGGAGTTTCGTCGACTAGAAAGCGTTCCATTCCAATAATTTCTCATAAAGTTGACAAAGTCTGTCAGAAGTACGTAATTCACACATCATGCACACCTGATACGCGGATGCCAAACTTTCATCTCAAGAAACTGCAATATGTCTTCCGAAGGAGGACTTTACTCCATTTTATTGAATTTGTATGCTATAAAGAATTGCAGACCTTGTTCTGTTTGGAGGAAGACCAAACAAAGGTATGCTTTTAACTATTGGGCTATATTTTCTTTTATATTACTCAAAGTCAATAGGGCTTTCACGGGCCGATGATCAGAGGTCTTGATGGAATTGATGGAATTGTAGCCCCTCATGTTCACCTTCAAATCGCTTGATGATCCAACTTTGTACAATATCCTGTCGGTCCACGAAGGAACTCGTTCCTGGAGAGACCGAAAAGAACAGACAGTACATTAGTGCCAGCTGATCAGATCCCATCATCAAAAGCAGTATCTTCAATCCTAAGGAGCATCACCAGATGAGGTCATATAACTGCCTTTCCGACCCTTCACCTTTCTACCCTGTACTGCGGCACATGTTCGTGCGATACGAGGATCATCCCTCGCTTCAGGCATACTTATTAAGCAGATGGTTCCAGCCGAATCTCTTGGCTGGATGTGAAGGACACCAAGTGCAAAAATGGGCCCTCAATGCTCTGCGACGGCGATCATCATCTCCGGTGGGCACCCACCTGCCACACTTCGGCTTTATCATACGTGAAGGCTCACCAGAGTACAAGGATTGCATTCCATGCTGACCTTATGGCTCGAGTCGTAGTTGTCCGTTCCCACGTCGAACTTGTATGTCGGTTTAAATGACAGCGGCCCTTCTATGAAGCCGTTGAAGGCTTGGCCCTTCTTCAGAGCCCTCGATAGTTGATCTTTTGACCACAGGACCTGAAACATCCGCAGATCTCGAAATGAGCTCGCGTGCACGTTGGATTCACCCGGTGGGCAGAGCAGGCTTTTAAAGGACGCCTATAGTGGTCATCAAATCGGGTGCAGAGATACAGCAACCCTTACATGTTCATCATGCAAGAACAGATTAGCGACGAGAGATCAATATGTGAGTCGGGTGTGATACAGACTGTCAAAGACCAATACCTCTTCGAGTTTGTGACTAATCAAAAAGCTAACGGAATTTCTGCTCATCTCGACTCTGTAATTCAAATCGCCCAGCCAAACGATCATATCGGCTTGCTCGATGAAGTTGGACCGAAATGCGTGATCCATGCAGGGACCAGGTTCATCGGCGACCGCGGCTGCATTTCGGACGCACGAACAACCCGAACAGAGTCCACCTCCGTGCTGTTTGGAAAAGACGTTTTGATATATACGGTGAAATTGAGCGTTGCGCTCCCCAACATTCGATTCGTGAGCTGCACTGCATTAAGACCGAGGTTAGAAACTGATGCGACCACTGACGGCTGTAGACATCCAACGTTAAAGGAACTACGATGATGGATAAGAAATCTCAATGTCATGTTCTGAACGATACTTCTGTCCCCATAGAATGGGTGTGGACACTGAGCTCGGGCTTTTCACTCAATATGGCACTTAGTTTCCAGTGACTCGGTAGAATACAGAAGCAAACTCTGTCTTCCTTTCATCATATTTCGAGTCAAACGAAATTGTGACTTACGAGCAAGATGACAAGCGATGAACAACAGAGAAACACCCTTGAATCGAAAAGCAACGGCCACTGCTCCTTTTTGACGACCCACGACTCCGCCAAGTCCGCCGACACTGATTTTATCCACCATCGGTTCTGTAGAAATTGAACAAGTCGAGAGATTTTGGTCACTGAGGTAACGATGATGAGTTTCCATGGCGGAAAAATGAGTTGCATCAGAGGAACCCACCGCAGACTGAGTTCAAAATTTGGGGTTTGATACTTACTTGAAATGAATGGTAAGATGGTTTTTCTGGCGATAACAAATAATTGGAGGGACAGCATGACCGCGGCCGCTACAAGACTGCAGGACAAAAGTATACTTCGTCAGAGATCTCGCAACAATGGAAGCTATGCCCAATTCCGAAGGCGCTCCAATAAGTGTAAATGCCGCACATAGAGCGGACAAACCTTACCTGTATTTTTCTCCTAAAGCCTCCTTAACAAGGGACTCAGCAATTGAATGATGCGCTTCCTGGAGCCCGACAATGTACAAGTCGTGATGATCTCCATGAGCTTCAAGAAGCTCGGCAATGTTATCTACAAGCGCCTGCATGGAGCGCAAAGAAGGGAAGAAGTCAGCCTCTCCAATTCACGAGATCGGAAGTCCACGACTTTGGCAACCAGGAAATTTTGAACGACTGTTTTCAACCTGGCACGCTCTACGGTAATGGAGTCCTCGTTAGAATCCCTCAACGCATACAAATTGCAATGCATTTGATACGACCGGCAGTTGCAATTCAGTCATCCAACCGTAGGAGAGGGCGGTAATTTGAAGGCGTTCTCAGTGACGAGCTGGCGGACACGGCGAGCATCTGCAGACCAGAGCTTGATGTCTATCAAAGAGGGACTTCAGAAACCCCAGTCAACATCTGGTGATTTGTGCCGCAGAAGAGCAGAAGAACATGACCAATGGAATTCCCCGATGTGAACATGTATTTACCTTGCCATTCATGTTCCATGTCACAATGTACACGCTGAGATCTGAAGATTGTGACTGAAGGAAAGTCGATTTTTCACCACTCTCTGTCAAGATATGCTCATCGAAGACCCTGTCGGGATCCACACATATATCTGCCTCAACTCTGCCATCGCACTTGGCGGAAGCAGTATCTTTCTGAGAGCCAATATTGTAACCGAAAACTTCTTCCTCTGTCTTGGGATCATTCTTGAAAGCGCGGCCACTTTCAGTAGCGTTAAAGACCAGAAGCTGGGCAGTTTCGGCATCTCGTAAGCCCTCAATAATCTTTCTACCGCAGCAGGCCCATAATTGTCTCTCCTGGGGGGATAAATGAGCACATTTGCCTAAACACAATCCCATTTCGCCGTCTTCCTAGATATTTACAAAACCGATCAACTTCCATGATGTCCCAAAATTCCTGCTTGAAAATTTGCGGCCATCTAGCCTATAATCATCGAGTCCCCCACGTCCTTGCGATTATCATAGCCCTCATGCGGGAAGTTATGCACTGAAACAGAACGAAGTTCAGATTCTACTTTTGCACCTGTGTAACCGGCAAGGTGAATCTTCACGTAATCAATGCGCCCTCATCGAAGCATCGCATCGGTGCCCGTGAGGCCACTTTCCTCGTTGCGACTTCGTCTCGAGTTTTGTCAACCCAGTTCTGAACAAATTCTAGCGTTGAAGGAGTTCCGGTCCGCGTGAAGAGGAGAGAGGAGAGCGGAGGCTAAGAGGAGGAATCCGAGGATTCGAGCTGTAGTTATGTACTGAGCCGAGGCAATTGCCAGCACAGAATGGGAAGCTCCGTTCTCACAATAGACTTCAGCAACAGATGGGAAGAACAAGCCTTTAGTTGGAAGAGGACACTCTGGATGTACGTCTAGACATGTGAGGAATCACACCCGAAATGTGAGGATTTCACACCCAGAAGTAGGTGAAACATTCACTGACAGCACGAGCAACCTGCAGAGAGATTTGGAAGAATGACAACATTCCAGAATTGGAGAGAGCCAAATAGACAACGGAGTGTGCAAGCGAGGGAAGCGAGCGAGCGAGCGGGGCCTCGGTCCTCCAACTGGTAGCTGCGGCAGAAGTGAAATCGGGCTGGGAGAGAAAAACGGAGCGAAGGGGAAGAGACAAATCGGATTCTGGCCCTCTGATGGGGGCGGGGGTTAGAACTAGAAAGCCAAGGGAAAAAGTAGGCGTAAATGTTCTTCTGCCCGGGTCGAGGAATTAGTATTACGGAGGACAATTTACCTGATCAAAACACGATGTCTAAACTCCTCAGATCCAGAGGAGTCCGAGGGACTGGCAAGTTTTTCACGTCCAGCCGCGCTACAGGCAGGGACGAAAATCCTGGCCGCCACGTAGGACAACCCACGGTGAATAAACAAGTCGGAGAAGTTGAAGGCCGTACCGGTAACCGGGGCCAAGGGTGGAGAGAAACGGGCGGATGAAGCGGAGCCAGGCAGTGAGCGAAGAAGCGGGAAGTATGCCCCAGCCGGTCTGCCCGACCAGGCGAGAGCGGGGCAGGGTAGCATGATCCCGGCAAGCACGTCAGAGACGTAGGCATTTGTTGTCTACTGTACTGCACCGTATTTGTGAGGCTCTGCTGAGTTCTGACTCTGAAACCCCAACGCTGGGAAATCCCGACCTTACACCGGTAAGTCGACGGACGGAAACTCGGCAAATAGGAGAGAGACGACGCCACAGTAGAGGCCGGCTTTGCAGAAGACATAGTAATTACGATAGAAAGCAGCAGCAAGCGACGGCCTTCGTTCCGTTCTTCCTTCCCGTGCAACCCTTTGCTTGGGAAACGTTGGCCAGACCTATTCGTTTGTCTGCGGGACCACGGGAGGAAGGGAGGCGGCAGTGACTGTGGGGCCAGTTCCAGGCTTGCATGAGCCCCAGCAGCCGCTACTCTCTTACCCCAACGGTAATCTGCGCCGGCAAGGGTCCAGAGTCGTCTATGGCGGTTGGATACAGAAGCCCTGTATTTGCGGTGAGAGGGGAAAAGTGCTGCAATCTTCCCTGGGGCGTGAAAGGTGGAGAGGAGAAGGGAAGCGCCGGCGAACGTTTTTATGTTGTCCTTTCTGCTGGATTGTGCAAAACCTTCATCGGCCGATGGCGAGAGTCTAGACAACAGAGGCCGCGTGTTTGAGTATGAGCCCGTGAGGATAATATTCCGCGAGAAATATTAAGTGGGCACTGTCGAGGCATCCAATTTGAAAAGGTTTTATCTTCCGCTCTCGTCTTCTTCCTCTCTGCCGGTCCCTGTGCTACTCTGCTCACAGGCGTGGAGCGCGAATGAAGTCTACGAACGACATTGTCTCTACAGTGTTACAATGTTGGCTCGATCGTCGTACCGTCTGTATGAATGATTGAATGAGCGTTGTGCGATATATTCCTATGATAGCTGACGTTACTGGAGTCACTGGACGGGGAGCCTCGATACCCCATATGTGCAGAGTGGACAAGTGGAACAATCGATCTGTCCTTCCTCGTCGTCTCTTCCTTCCAGGACTCCAGTCCTGCATCTAGCGATTCAACGCCGCATTCAGCCTTCATGTCGAACAATGAACGCACAAGCCCGTACATACAGCTTCTCCTGACACCGGACTGAAAAAGAAAATATCTTCTAGGCCGCTTCCATGGCTTACGGATACATGCCTCGTATTTACTACTGGTATTACTCACCTCTCAAGCAAAACAAAATCGCAACAGAACAAATCAAAGTGTAAAGCGAAAAGCAAAAGATACCTGATCTATACATGGCGTATGACTATGCGTCTGGGAAAACTATACCTACCAGTAGCTGAGAGTGCTGCTTCCGACCGTTGCCTGGCATGCAACAAACAAACGCAAAAGCAGGGCCGAAGGGAGAAGATCAGAACACTCGAGCCATGGATTTCTTTTGCTTGACCTGCAAACGGTTATCTTGTCCAGGGTTCTCCGCCTCACCTCCCCCTCGTCGTCCTCACGAGCCATTCCTTTCGTCTGTCGTAATGCAGACGTCCTCAAAACTCACTGCGCACGAAGGTTCACTACGTACGGGATCGGCAGACTTAGAAGTAATCCCTCGCCACTCTCCACTCTTAACCACGTCGGACTGTGTAGCTGCATTCTCGCCCATCGTGTGTGTCCCTCTCACTTTACCACGTCTGAATGACTATGCAGTTCTCATCCTCTCACTGCTTCGTGTCCTACGTTGGTTAGCACAGGCAGGAGCCTGTGCAACATCGAACTTCCTCCGTATCTTCATCACTACAGTACTGTACAGTTCCGATAGTCCGCCCGAGATGGCAACGAAAATTCCAGAATGATATGGCGTTCTTGAATGATCTTTCCCGAACAAAATATGAGTGTTTTTAGGAATTTACTTGTACGAATGAGAGTTCAACTTCAGAATTTGACCCTGCAATTTTGACAACTGCTCGAACACACGCAGATCGTTGTACTTTAAAATAAGAACCAAAGGAACCCTATCACTAGAACTTTTCCAGTCACAGATTAATCAAATTAAATTATTACTAGAATCAGGACGTTGGGTCTCCTCATTTCTCTTTTTAGATATTTAGTTATTTATATATTAAGGAAACTATCATGGTGCCAACCTAGGAAAGAAGGTCCCTTTCTAAGAAGGCACCGCTGCCTCTTGATATATCATCTTGTAAAAGTCATCAGAACTTTGGGAGCTTGTATAAAAAATTTTGAATACAATGATTGTATTGAATAAATGAAGTCATGTTTGAATCACCTACATCAAACCATGTATGCACTGCATTATGAACTCAAAATGGACTTATAAATTCTACGAAAGAATTGATCCGCAGGTGCCATTTCAAGAATGAGGATACAGTTAATAATTTCAGTAGGGGATACAATACAATTGTAGCATGTTAGGCTCTATTAGAGATCGGTGGAGAGAGATAAGAATCTACGGTTTACGGTCTAGATGCCATACGGAAAATACAGGAACTTCAAGCAACTTCGTAACTATTTAGCTACGATATTTTATTATTTTTGCTTATATAGATGTGACGTGAAGTACAGGATTTTTGGTACAAAAGTTGTTGGAAAGATACTCGACTATCCTATTGAACGAACTCCAAAAAATATGTTTATAACCATCGACCATATATTTATATTAATTCATGACATCTTCACAAGAATATTCTCGAACATAAGTTCCAATCTCTTCCGCATTATACATCGCATTGGGAATTGTCTGTTACACGCTGTCCCGAATAAGCAGTTACCAGAAGATTCATTACAACAACCTGTTTGACATTTTGCTTGATGTTTCGTGAGAATGATCACGTCAAATTATTTATAAGTGCAGTAGATCTACCCACTATCGGACCACAACCCAGATTGCTCGACATCCTTCGATATACAGGCACTTAAGCGTGTATACTGGACCCAAAGCGCAACTCAATTTCCGATGTATATCTGTTTAAAAATCGATGAACTGGTCATGTTGTCTGACACTACATACCGATTGTAATATCTAAGTGAGATATTTTTCTTCTGATGTTCACCAGTTGGTAGACCCCAACTACAACATAAAATATATATATGTATTTTTTACTTAATAACCGTCCACTTGCACTTGTCTTGGTCCCTCACAATACAAACATGCTGTATTCATCAAAACGATATTTATAGTGTATGAACCTAACAACAGGTTCCAAGCTACATAGTTTTTCTATGCGAGACGGCACTGGTATGGGTACTATCGTTCAACTACTCCAAGCTTGTTATATTTCGTTAAGTTGGAATCTAGTTTTCTGAACCAACAATGAGCTTTGTCTACTTACTAGAGATATGTGAGCTATATTTGTTCTCTGGCCTGATGAGACGTAACAGCCCCAAGTTAAACATGAAAATCATTTACAAGGCACTCGTATCAATAAACCTTACTTACCGCAGTAAACAGTACAGGTATAATAACGAAATGGTCTTGTCGATTAGTGTCGTCATTTGATCTCAAAGTGCATAAACAAACCACAAGCCTCGAAGAATTCTGCCTGGGTGTACTTTTCATACTGTAACCGTGTTTTCCTGATAAGAATATGACTTAATACTCTACTCCTGTGCAAGGCGATTGAGCTACTTGATGTGCATCATTGTTTACTTCATATAAGAATTTGGACTTCGTGAGCACAAATATACACAAAAATTTCCGTAAGGGTTTCAAGTAAACATACTATATATAGATTGGCGAAGCCTCGCAAAAGACATGAACAATAAGGAACTTTCAAGAAACAACAGCTATCCAACCAATCTTAACAAGGAGTAATTAAGAGTATGTTTTGAGTATCCCAAACCCTCTACACACAAAATTTCAATCATGTGAAAATATAGCACAAAGTAATAAAAATTGAATATATGAGATTGTACTTCATCCAAAAAGTTTATGGGAAGTACAATGTTTGTATCTTTTTTCTGCATTTATTATTACGAGAAATGAGATATCTTTATTTCACAGTTTGATTGCCAAACGATTGGCCTAGAGTACTAGTTTGATATACTTGCAGACATTTCATGCTTCATTTCTCAAAGAGCTGGTACTAGTCTATTGCATACTTTGCATTCTCTTCGTCAATGGGTTTATCCATTTTTTTTTTACAATATACACAATATATACAATTTATTATCATCAATCTTGGCTACACATTCACCAACTACTTTAGGAAACATTGATGGGGTTTGGCTTTGTGCATCCATATTCACTTTCATTAAGTGATATCAAATTGATTCTTTTGGTTCTACATGACTTGTTAGAATTTTGCAGGAGAGATTTTACCTACCAATGTCATTTAAAGAAGTGATGGTATGGAAGACAAATTCGTTGATATACAAAACATTATTGTGCTTGCAATCAACTCTTATTGAGAAAATCTATATTTGATTTGAAAAGATGTTAATGCTACAGATTTTGTGTTTACCTGTTATAGTCCCCTATGACGAAGTTTCATAGGGGACTATGAAACTTCGTATTAATCATCATATATCAGCAGTCTCAAAAGACTAAGTTTATGTGCATGTAATTTGAATTAGAAATTTTTTAAAAAAATGTCTTTCCAGTTTTATATGGAACTGTGATTGCATGATAAAACTGATTGGTTAGAATTTGAATCTACGATGTCATATTATTTACAAGTAATGAAATATTTTTGAGAACTGAACATAATAGCTGCACAATAATAATTGTGCAGCTATAAATAGATCACTATATGATAATAATTATGAGAAAATCATCATGTTAGTTAACGTTTTTAAGATATCAATATATTATCGTATGTATCATTTTTTCTCAATAATTTGGATATGTTAGATGCCAAATGATGTATTTTTCACGGGTAGAATGGGGCAAGCTTCATCTACTCCCTTGGTTTCAGACTGCACAACTTGATCGGGCTCTTTTCATTCTTTTTCTATATTATCCTCTCTTCTTACTCGGGTAGCAGAGTCCACCATAGCCAAATTCATGGCTTACGGAATTTCTGCGCGTGGAAATAAAATAAGACAACAGTAAAAGTCAAGGTAAGGCAATAACTGGATAACATGCACACGTGAGGATGTGAGGTAGATTGAGAGAACGTTATTCCTCTTCACTTTCTGTCAAATCATTGGGGCCCAAAGTATACAATTTCCACCAATCGAACTTAAGCATTGCAAATTGCTTCGTACCATCTCTACTGTAGTACTTTGTACAACTTGCTGGTTCAGAATCTTGTCTGACAAAATGATTTTCCGCGTCATATGCTCAAATCTAGAGATGGTTCTTTCTTTCCTTGTGTCCACGGGTAGGCTCTTATGATCTGCTTTAATTCATGCGTCGGAGTGATTTTAGCTCTCTTTCGGGCATTATCTAGAAGGAAGGACTTCTGGCCTCTGGAGCCAATATGGTGATGATGGCTAGTTATCCAGTGACAAGATAGTTGGATGGAAACTTCAAAATATTACAAAACAAAAGGCAACACCATACACAACATACTTGCAATAATAGGAAAGAAATTGGTTGGTAGATCTTATCCTATTCAGCAGCGGAACTCATTCATTGTGGCTATAAATCTGCTAAAAGGCCTTCTTGTGGAAACAATGGAGATGGTGAGAACAGTAGAAAATTGGATGTATGGTCAATGCCTACAGAGATTAACCGAGAATCCAGCTGAAGCTACATGATCTTTTAAAATTAGTTCGCCAAGTTAGAGGTATACTGACACGGATGGTCACAGTATGGTAAAACACACCAACAACAGTTTTCATCTACTATCTTCCGTCTACCCAGTTCTCTGTCTTCTGAACATACGTAGTTCCCCTCCAGAGTGTAGACTCGGATAGTTTGATCCTATTGGCTAAGAAACTCTGCATCAGTTAAAACCTTGCGAACATGAGAGAGACTTGTTCGAGAGGATTTCAAGTCAACCTTTGTACACCTAGATAGAGCCCCGCTGTTCACGAGTCTTCAAAACTGGGCCTTGCCAGCTCTACTTGGTCAGTTTCCTCAATATGGCCCTATTTGGTTGCAGTTTCATTTCGACCCTGAAGAAGAAGACCCT